TGAAAAATATTCTTTAATAAATCCACGCCTCAGTTGGCCCTTGAAAAATATTCTTTAATAAATCCACGCCTCAGTTGGCCCTTGAAAAATATTCTTTAATAAATCCACGCCTCAGTTGGCCCTTGAAAAATATTCTTTAATAAATCCACGCCTCAGTTGGCCCTTGAAAAATATTCTTTAATAAATCCACGCCTCAGTTGGCCCTTGAAAAATATTCTTTAATAAATCCACGCCTCAGTTGGCCCTTGAAAAATATTCTTTAATAAATCCACGCCTCAGTTGGCCCTTGAAAAATATTCTTTAATAAATCCACGCCTCAGTTGGCCCTTGAAAAATATTCTTTAATAAATCCACGCCTCAGTTGGCCCTTGAAAAATATTCTTTAATAAATCCACGCCTCAGTTGGCCCTTGAAAAATATTCTTTAATAAATCCACGCCTCAGTTGGCCCTTGAAAAATATTCTTTAATAAATCCACGCCTCAGTTGGCCCTTGAAAAATATTCTTTAATAAATCCACGCCTCAGTTGGCCCTTGAAAAATATTCTTTAATAAATCCACGCCTCAGTTGGCCCTTGAAAAATATTCTTTAATAAATCCACGCCTCAGTTGGCCCTTGAAAAATATTCTTTAATAAATCCACGCCTCAGTTGGCCCTTGAAAAATATTCTTTAATAAATCCACGCCTCAGTTGGCCCTTGAAAAATATTCTTTAATAAATCCACGCCTCAGTTGGCCCTTGAAAAATATTCTTTAATAAATCCACGCCTCAGTTGGCCCTTGAAAAATATTCTTTAATAAATCCACGCCTCAGTTGGCCCTTGAAAAACATTCTTTAATAAATCCACGCCTCAGTTGGCCCTTGAAAAATATTCTTTAATAAATCCACGCCTCAGTTGGCCCTTGAAAAATATTCTTTAATAAATCCACGCCTCAGTTGGCCCTTGAAAAATATTCTTTAATAAATCCACGCCTCAGTTGGCCCTTGAAAAATATTCTTTAATAAATCCACGCCTCAGTTGGCCCTTGAAAAATATTCTTTAATAAATCCACGCCTCAGTTGGCCCTTGAAAAATATTCTTTAATAAATCCACGCCTCAGTTGGCCCTTGAAAAATATTCTTTAATAAATCCACGCCTCAGTTGGCCCTTGAAAAATATTCTTTAATAAATCCACGCCTCAGTTGGCCCTTGAAAAATATTCTTTAATAAATCCACGCCTCAGTTGGCCCTTGAAAAATATTCTTTAATAAATCCACGCCTCAGTTGGCCCTTGAAAAACATTCTTTAATAAATCCACGCCTCAGTTGGCCCTTGAAAAATATTCTTTAATAAATCCACGCCTCAGTTGGCCCTTGAAAAATATTCTTTAATAAATCCACGCCTCAGTTGGCCCTTGAAAAACATTCTTTAATAAATCCACGCCTCAGTTGGCCCTTGAAAAATATTCTTTAATAAATCCACGCCTCAGTTGGCCCTTGAAAAATATTCTTTAATAAATCCACGCCTCAGTTGGCCCTTGAAAAATATTCTTTAATAAATCCACGCCTCAGTTGGCCCTTGAAAAATATTCTTTAATAAATCCACGCCTCAGTTGGCCCTTGAAAAATATTCTTTAATAAATCCACGCCTCAGTTGGCCCTTGAAAAATATTCTTTAATAAATCCACGCCTCAGTTGGCCCTTGAAAAATATTCTTTAATAAATCCACGCCTCAGTTGGCCCTTGAAAAATATTCTTTAATAAATCCACGCCTCAGTTGGCCCTTGAAAAATATTCTTTAATAAATCCACGCCTCAGTTGGCCCTTGAATCTTTAATAAATCCACGCCTTCAGTTAATAAATCCCTTGAAAAATATTCTTTAATAAATCCACGCCTCAGTTGGCCCTTGAAAAATATTCTTTAATAAATCCACGCCTCAGTTGGCCCTTGAAAAATATTCTTTAATAAATCCACGCCTCAGTTGGCCCTTGAAAAATATTCTTTAATAAATCCACGCCTCAGTTGGCCCTTGAAAAATATTCTTTAATAAATCCACGCCTCAGTTGGCCCTTGAAAAATATTCTTTAATAAATCCACGCCTCAGTTGGCCCTTGAAAAATATTCTTTAATAAATCCACGCCTCAGTTGGCCCTTGAAAAATATTCTTTAATAAATCCACGCCTCAGTTGGCCCTTGAAAAATATTCTTTAATAAATCCACGCCTCAGTTGGCCCTTGAAAAATATTCTTTAAAAAATCCACGCCTCAGTTGGCCCTTGAAAAATATTCTTTAATAAATCCACGCCTCAGTTGGCCCTTGAAAAACATTCTTTAATAAATCCACGCCTCAGTTGGCCCTTGAAAAACATTCTTTAATAAATCCACGCCTCAGTTGGCCCTTGAAAAACATTCTTTAATAAATCCACGCCTCAGTTGGCCCTTGAAAAATATTCTTTATTCTTTAATAAATCCACGCCTCAGTTGGCCCTTGAAAAATATTCTTTAAAAAATCCACGCCTCAGTTGGCCCTTGAAAAATATTCTTTAATAAATCCACGCCTCAGTTGGACCTTGAAAAATATTCTTTAAAAAATCCACGCCTCAGTTGGCCCTTGAAAAATTCTTTATTCTTTAATAAATCCACGCCTCAGTTAGACCTTGAAAAACATTCTTTAAAAAATCCACGCCTCTTATAGACCTTGAAAAACATTCTTTAAAAAATCCAACTTGAAAAACATTCTTTAAAAAATCCACGCCTCTTATAGACCTTGAAAAACGTTCTTTAAAAAATTCACGCCTTGAAAAACATTCTTTAAAAAATCCACGCCTCTTTAGAAAAAAACGTTCTTTAAAAAATTCACCTTGAAAAACATTCTTTAAAAAATCCACGCCTCTTATAGACCTTGAAAAACATTCTTTAAAAAATCCACGCCTCTTATAGACCTTGAAAAACATTCTTTAAAAAATCCACGCCTCTTATAGACCTTGAAAAACATTCTTTAAAAAATCCACGCCTCTTATAGACCTTGAAAAACATTCTTTAAAAAATCCACGCCTCTTATAGACGTTGAAAAACATTCTTTAAAAAATCCACGCCTCTTATAGACCTTGAAAAACATTCTTTAAAAAGTCCACGCCTCTTATAGACCTTGAAATACATTCTTTAAAAAATCCACGCCTCTTATAGACCTTGAAAAACATTCTTTAAAAAATCCACGCCTCTTATAGACCTTGAAAAACATTCTTTAAAAAATCCACCTTGAAAAACATTCTTTAAAAAATCCACCTTGAAAAACATTCTTTAAAAAATCCACGCCTCTTATAGACCTTGAAAAACATTCTTTAAAAAATCCACCTTGAAAAACATTCTTTAAAAAATCCACCTTGAAAAACATTCTTTAAAAAATCCACGCCTCTTATAGACCTTGAAAAACGTTCTTTAAAAAATCCACCTTGAAAAACATTCTTTAAAAAATCCACGCCTCTTATAGACCTTGAAAAACGTTCTTTAAAAAATTCACCTTGAAAAACATTCTTTAAAAAATCCACGCCTCTTATAGATCTTGAAAAACATTCTTTAAAAAATCCACGCCTCTTATAGATCTTGAAAAACATTCTTTAAAAATCCACGCCTCTTATAGATCTTGAAAAACATTCTTTAAAAATCCACGCCTCTTATAGATCTTGAAAAACATTCTTTAAAAAATCCACGCCTCTTATAGACCTTGAAAAACATTCTTTAAAAAATCCACGCCTCTTATAGACCTTGAAAAACATTCTTTAAAAAATCCACGCCTCTTATAGACCTTGAAAAACATTCTTTAAAAAATCCACGCCTCTTATAGACCTTGAAAAACATTCTTTAAAAAATCCACGCCTCTTATAGACCTTGAAAAACATTCTTTAAAAAATCCACGCCTCTTATAAACCTTGAAAAACATTCTTTAAAAAATCCACGCCTCTTATAGACCTTGAAAAACATTCTTTAAAAAATCCACGCCTCTTATAGACCTTGAAAAACATTCTTTAAAAAATCCACGCCTCATATAGACTTTGAAAAACATTCTTTAAAAAATCCACGCCTCTTATAGATTTTGAAAAACATTCTTTAAAAAATCCACGCCTCTTATAGACCTTGAAAAACATTCTTTAAACAATCCACGCCTCTTATAGACCTTGAAAAACATTCTTTAAAAAATCCACGCCTCTTATAGACCTTGAAAAACATTCTTTAAAAAATCCACGCCTTTTATAGACCTTGAAAAACATTCTTTAAAAAATCCACGCCTCTTATAGACCTTGAAAAACATTCTTTAAAAAATCCACGCCTCTTATAAACCTTGAAAAACATTCTTTAAAAAATCCACGCCTCTTATAGACCTTGAAAAACATTCTTTAAAAAATCCACGCCTCTTATAGACCTTGAAAAACATTCTTTAAAAAATCCACGCTTCTTATAGACCTTGAAAAACATTCTTTAAAAATCCACGCCTCGTATAGACCTTGAAAAACATTCTCTAAAAAATCCACGCCTCTTATAAACCTTGAAAAACATTCTTTAAAAAATCCACGCCTCTTATAGACCTTGAAAAACAGTCTTTAAAAAATCCACGCTTCTTGAAAAAACATTCTTTAAAAAATCCACGCCTTCATAGACCTTAAAAAATATTCTTTAAAAAAATCCACACCTTTCATAGACCTTAAACAAATATTCTTTAAAAAATCCACGCCCTTCATTCATAGACTTTAAAAAAATATTCTTTGAAAAATTCACGCCTCTTATAGACCTTAAAGAAATATTCTTAAAAAAGCACTACTGTAGAAGACCTTGAAAAATATTCTTGAAAACATCCACGCATTTAAAAGATGATGAAAAAATATTCTTTAAAAAATCCACACCATAGACCTTAAAAAGTATTCCACGCCTTTTATAGGCCTTAAAAAGGTTCATGGTTAATGTAGACATTTTACATTCCTAGACGCAATTGTTCTCTATTAATTTTTCATTATTTTCCTTTTGCAGGTCACTGGTGGCGGCAGCGGTTTGGGTCGTGAAATTGCCCTGGAATTGGCCCGTAAAGGCTGCAAATTAGCCGTGGTGGATGTCAACTCAAAAGGATGCTACGAAACCGTTGATATGATAACCAAAATCCCACATAGTGTTGCCAAAGCATATAAGGTAAGAATTTTATCATGCCAATTGCCAGATACCCTTTTTGCAAAATAATGTCATCTTAATTATTGAAAAAAAATTGTTTTCGCTTTTGTTTTTGTCCAGACTGATGTTTCATCACCGCGTGAATTGCAACTGATGGCCGTTAAAATTGAAAAGGAATTGGGACCGGTGGACATTCTAGTTAACAATGCCTCATTGATGCCAATGACATCGACACCACAGCTGAAGAGCGATGAAATCGAAAAAATCATCACCGTTAATTTGGGCTCTTACATTATGGTACGTATCGACGTACGAAAGTGATTTTTATGGCATTTCATTTGCATAAGATGAGGCGTGAGTGCGTATGTGGAGGACAGACGATTGTCTACCACCAACCTGGTGGACAATTAAAAAAATAATGCGGGTTCCAATTAATTTTTTCTTTTTCTTGATTTTGCTATGTATTTATTTGATGTCTACCTGCTGTTCTTTTCAATGGCTTCCAATTGTTGGCTGGATGGGTGGACAGACTTCCAAGGAATTCTTACCAAAAATGGTTCAACGTCAATCCGGCCATGTTGTTGCAGTGGCAGCTTTGTCTGGTAAGTTTGTTTTTCTTCTTCGGTGCGGAATGCAAATAAAAATAATCTTTTGTCTTAAATGAGGTTTCTGGCTTCCCGCATGTTCAGGTGTGGGTAGGCTATTGGTGGAATTATGAAAATAAGGTAGATTCTGAGTAAGCTGTGGTAATGTCTTACGATTGTTGTTGGTATTGATTAATGGAGTTTACAAATGAATTGTAAAGCGAAATAAGTATTGCGGGAGCTACGAGGCATGATTCCTAGGCGCGGATTGCAAAAATATAAAAATTTTATATGGGATCCAGATTTAATTTTTAAGACATCGACTGACTATTCTAATGAACCTCAATTTGATGACATATTGGTCCGCCATAATCTTCTAAGGTCGTCTTGTAATTTTTATATCAATTCACCCTACCAAAATCGGCTTTGGCAAGACCCCTATAGCCGATCCATTTACCTCTCGAACTGACCAGAAATAATTATTGTCTTTCATTTAAATATTCATATTTGAATATTAACATCTCTCTTCCGATTTTTTGCAGGTTTGGTGCCACTACCCGGTGCCGGAATTTACACAGCCACCAAATATGGTATATTGGGTTTTATGGAAGCTTTAAGATGTGAATTGCGTGAATCGAATTGTGATTTTATACGGACGACGGTGGCCAATACGTATTTCATGAAAACCAGTGGTGATTTACATTTACTCAGCGATGCAGGGTAAGTGGTCAAAAATTATAAACAAAAACAAAAAAGAAAATAAGGATGTATTAACAGGCAGGATGCATAGGATAATGTGCATATGGAAATAGGTGTGGATATTAAGGTGACTAAAAACTATATCAGGTATATTTTTTAAAAAATATATAGGCATAGATTTTTTTTTAAATTTTTTCAGGACCATTCAATGTTTTTTAAAACATTTAAGGCGGAGATTTTTCAAGCAATATTTTATCAATGACCTTCAGGACGAAAGTTTTCTTAAAAATACCTTCTGAGGGCTTTTCAAGTGGTAGACTTTTTTTAAGGCGTAGATTTTTAAATTCAGGCATTAATATTCTTAAAAATACTTACTTACTTAGCTGGCTTGCGACAGAACTTTCGTTGCATAAGCCGAGCTTAAAAAAGATATCCAGGCATGTCGGTCAATGTTGTCTTCCACTTCATCCTTCCATCTTATTCGTGGCCTTCCCTTCTGCGTGAACCATTAGCTGGTTCGCTTTTATATTCCTTTTGGGCTGGGGTATCTTCATTCATTCTCACAACATGACCTAGCCAACGTATTCGATGCAGCTCACTACCGATGTCCGACAAATAGCTGGTACAGCTCATGGTTCATTCGGTGGCGATATTTACCGTCAACACAGATCGGCCCATAGATTTTTCCGATAATTTTTCTCTCAAATACTCCATGAGTTGCCTTATCGGCATGCGTAAGTACCCATGCTTCAGATCCATATAATAGCACGGGTAGTATCAGTGTCTTGTAGAGTGTGAGTTAGGTCTGGCGTGAGGTGGCCTTGCTTTTGAGATGCTTAATCAGACCATATTATCATATGTTAGCGAACACTGATGGCATTAGTTTTTTATGGCGGTACCAAGGTATATAAAATCGTTGACTACCTTGAAGCTGTAGTTTTCAAGTTCCACAGTTGGTCCGAGTCTACTGGACGTGTTATGCGTTGATACCATCAGCTTGGTCTTCTCGCCGTTTACTACCAGACCCACTTTGGCAGACTTTCTCTCAATTTGTTCAAATGTGGCTGTTACTGCTCTCAGTGTTTGACCTATTATGTCGATGTCATCGGCGTAGGCGAGTTGTTTGGTGTACAGAGTGCAATTTCTGTTCACCTTCGCCTCTCGTATGACCTTTTCCAGCAGGATGTTAAAGAAGTCACATGACAATCTGTCACCTTGTCTGAATCCTCGTTCGATATTGATGGGCTCCGAGAGGTCCCTTCCTCTCTGATCTTGTTCTAATTAAAGTTATAGCCGTATTAATTTTGCAGGAATCCCGTACGTAGACATGGCTTTAAACACCTCTGAACAAATATGGCTTTAAACACCTCTGAAACGAATAGGTGGTATGTGTCGATGTGTTTTTCCAGGATTTGGAGCAGAGTGAAAATCTGGTCAGTGGTGGATTTGACAGGTCTGGAGCCGCATTGGTATGGTCCAATGATGTCTATGACCATTGGCACATTGGGTAGCACTTTATATGCGATGGGAAGGAGACTTATTCCTCTATAGTTGGGACATATCGTCTTCTATCCTTTTTGTACACGGGACACAGGATGATGTGGTTCCAATTATTGGGTATGCATTCCTTTAGCCAAATTGTACTAATCAGCTGGTGCATGCTCTTGACCAGCATCTGACCACCAGTCTTGAATAGGTCGGCTGGTAACCCATCGGCTCCCAGGAGGATTTGCCTGAACCTTCGGTTTGGTGTTTTGCCTATATATGCTGCATTTTTCATATCAGTAGCATTACGACAATCCTGATCATACCATGAGTTGATGGTGTTGCATTTGCTGCAGTTTGTAGGGAGTGGACAATTCTTTGCCCATGAAGTGCTTTCGTCAAGCAAGAGGGTAAGTTGAGCGGAGTAGGCCTCGGCTACCTGTTGTGTTTGCAGCTTTTCTACATCGAGTTTCCGTGCGGTGTTCCATCGCACCTTTGCTGCAATTTTAAGACGAGTGCGAACCTTGGCTTCTACAAGTTATTGGTCCGAATCGATCGGATCGATCAAATGTCTAATACACTGGGTGAATGCCTTCCGTCTATCAATTTGATTTCTGGTTGCTTGATCAGGAGAAATCCAGGTGGCCTTGTGTATATCGAGATACTTGAATCTATGTTTTTTGCTGATGCGAAGTCAATCAACCTCATGCCGTTGTCGGATGTTTCCTCATGAAGGCTGAATTTTCCGACGGTTTGGCCAAACATATTTTCCCTTTCTATTTTTGCATTAAAATCTCCTAGTATAATTTTAATATCATGACCAGGACAGCGATCATATGCTGTTTCTCGTAAAATGTGTCTTTGGTCTGCTGATCTTTGTCTTCGGTCGGAGCAAGGGCGCAAATAAGACTGATGTAGAAGAACTTCGCTTTTATGCGGATTATAGCAATTCGCTCATCTACTGGGGTGAATCTAGAAACGAGGTCTTGTATTCTCCTGTTGACCGTAAATCCGCAGCCACATTCATGTCCCGTTTCATTGCAGCTATAATACAGTGCGTAATCGTCTGATTTACTTACGCCTGTCCCTTTCCATCGCATTTCCTGTAAGGCAATAATATCGCCTTTGTACTTCTTGAGTACATCCGCCAAAGCGAGAACGGCGCCTGTTCTGTATAACGTGCGCAGATTCCAAGTGCAGATTCGCAGATCGTGGTCCTTTATACGTTTGCGGGGGTCGTCATCATTAGGGGGGGTGTGGTTTTCTTTTTTTTGCATTTTCATAGTAGGTTGGGTTTTCCGAGAGTGGGCAACTAACCCGACGCCTCAACATATTTTTTTTATAGTTCTTATGGGTGAACTCGCGGCACATATTAGCTCACTATTTCATCGGGTGATGAGAATAGCCCCCAAGGTGCCACCGCGGGGAGGTCAGTGTCCACAATTGAGATGAAAGAGGGACCAAGATAAGCCTGGACTTTGCCATGTTAAAGCCAATCAGAGCCGTTGCTTGGTATATATCAACCCCTACGCCACCCCACGCCTCTTACAGACCTTAAAAAAATGTATTAAAAATCCACGCCTCTTATAGACCTTGGAAAAATAATCTTTAACAAAATCCACGTCTTTAATGGTTTTGGGAAAAAATATTCTTTATTCTTTAGACCTCTAAGTACTCTTTAAAAGTACTCCTTAAAAAAAAAGGCCAATTATAGACCTTGAAAAAATATTTTTTTAAAAATCCACGTCTTTAGAAGACCTTAAAAATATTCTTTGAATTATTGTGATCCTTGAAAAAATTACCCACGTTTATGATCCATTTACCATCCACTTTTTTAAGCTTCCTTTGTCATGTCCTTATGTTTGTAGACAAAAAATATTATTCGAATAAGAGCTTTAGCTTAGTCTACCATTTAGCTTATGGTCGTGTAATTGATATGTTAATGATTTTGAATCGCTTTGATATTTTCAATATTACCGACAACGTTTTTTTATGTTGTTGTTTTAGTTTTTTGTCCCTTTTCTTTGTCTTTTACATATAAACTTCTCATATTTCTATATCCTTCTTCTTCTTTTTCCATTTCACAGCATCTCGAGTAGTTATCCTGGCTTACCCACAGCATATGTGGCCGAGAAAATTGTCCGTGGCATGCTGCTCAATGAGCGTATGGTGTACGTGCCAAAAATATTTGCATTAAGTGTCTGGTTGCTCAGGTAAGTGTACAATGTGTGGATGGAAGAGTTTATGCGAGTGTGTGTGGGTATGGCGCGAATGTGGCATCGTATATTTTGATCATTTCAAAGAAGTGTGTCAATATGTGTGTGTGTGGACATGCGGTCACATGGCGAGTGGAGTGTGGCGTATGACAAGTGATCCTACAGAAAGTGGCATGCAACATAAGAACTTTTAAGAAATGTGTATTAGGGTGTAACGACATACAAAACAATTTAGTTACACAGCAGAAAAAAAACTTGAAGAGTTTCTATTTTTCTATGACAATATTATCGTTTCTAATAGATACCTCCTTTTTTAAGAAGGTGTTGACATCTGGTACATTAGGCTGTCAACCCTACACCCTAATATACCACACATTGCTGTGCATCTGCGAAAGTAGTTGCTCATATATCTTCACTTTCGAAACAATAAGTTTACTCATGTTGCATGCCTGTGGTATTTTCTTAAAAATGGCAGACTGTTGAATAAACTGCACCCTCACATGCATAAAAGCACACACTTACACACACACACACACCAAAATAACTTAATTAAATTAAATACGAGATTGTTATTGTTTTTCAATTGTGGTTGGTTGTGTGTTTTATCTTTTCAACGCTTTCGTTATACCATTACATTCAATTTTAAACGCACACACTCTCACACACACATCCTTTGTTTTGTGGCTATTAGCTGTTTCTTTATTATCATTTCTTCCTTTTCCAGATTGCTACCCACCAAATGGCAGGATTATATGCTGTTGCGTTTCTACAAATTCGATGAACGCAGTAAACATTTGTTCCTTTGGAAATGAATCGCCCCGCTGCCCCTGAAGGAGAGAATCAAGGCAAATCTCATCAAATACATGTTGTCAGTGCCAAATTTTAAACAATAACTGCCACGATGGCCTTTTTGTGAAAGGGGGAATGTAGCGTACAAAACAATGTCCTGTGGCATATTCGGAGTTCGAACTCCGCTCGATATATATTTAACTCATTCCCTATTCATTTCGAATTTTTTTCCTGGTCGAAAATTTATTTTTTTTAACGAAATTATATTTTATTATTTTTTTTAATGTATTTTTAAAATATTATATAAATTACACTGCTTTTTTTATTATATATATGTACAATTTATATATGTATAATTGTAGTATTTATTATAAGTATATATTAATATTAAGGAACAAATAAAAAAATTATTAACCACATTTTTTAAAAAGCTTCATAAAAAATCTACGTCCTTGAAAATATATTCGTGTAAAAAATTCACGACTATTGTAGCCTTTGAAAAAATACTTACTTAGCTGGCTTATGACAGAACGGTTGTTCCATAAGCCGATCTTAGAAAAGATTTCGAGGCGCATAGGTTTTGCGCGCATCTCATCCAATTGGAAAGACAATTTTTTTCTACTTGAACTTTCCATCGGATTCGTGGCCTTCCCTCTCTGCGTGAACCATCACTTGACTCGCGTTTATATGCCTTTTGAGCTGAGGCATATTCATCCATTCTCACAAGATGGCCTAGCCAACGTAGTTGCTGTAGCTCGATCCGTCTAACTATGTCGATGTCCGAGAATATGTAGTATAGCCCATGGTTCATTCGATGGCGATATTCACCGTCGACGCAGATCGGCCCATAAATCTTCGGAGAATTTTTCTTCCAAACACTCCAAGAGCTGCCTCAACTATTTGCGCAAGTACCCATGCTACAGATTCATATAACAGCACGGGTAGTATCAGCGTCTTGTAGAGTGTGTGTTTGTTCTGGGGCTTTGTGGTGGCTTTGCTTTTGAGTTGCTTACTCAGACCATATTAGCGTCTGTTGGCCAACACTATTCTTCTCCAGATTTCAAGGCTGATGTTATTAGTTTTGTTTGTTTGTCCGAGTCTACTGAACGTCTTGCGCGTTTATACCATCCCCACTTACTGCCAGTTTCAATTTGGCAGACTCCTTCTCAATTCGTTCAAAGGCGACTGTTACCGCTCGCAATGTTCGACCAATTATGTCGATGTCGTCGGCGTATATTCTTCACCGCCACTATTAGATACCAGAATCTTTTCAAAATGCTCCTTCAAGATCCTCAACACGCTGTCTGTATCTGTCACCAGATTTCCTTCCACATTTCTACAGGAGGATGTGTCTGTAGAGACACATGGTGTTTTACTCGTTGGTAAAATTTCCGGACTTCATTCTGACTCCTGTACATTGGCAGCTTTTCGACGTCAAGTTTTCGTGTTGTATTACATCGCACCTTTGCGTCTTTGGTCTGCCCATCTTTGTCTTCGGTCGGAGCATAGGCGCAAATAAGACTGATGTTGAAGAACTTCGATTTCACTGCAGTTCGCTCAGCTACTGCAGTGAATATGGAGACGAGGTCTTTTATTCTCCTGTGCAAATAGCTACCCCAGGTGACACCGCGGGGAGGTCAGTGTCACCAATTGAGGTAAAAGGGGGACCAAGATAAGCCTGGACTTCGTCATGTTAAAGCCAATCATAGCCGTTGCTTGGTATCTATCATCCCCTACGCCACCCACACGGCTAGTAACTTGGAAAAATATTCTTTTGAAAAAATCCGAATGTACCACAGTGTAGTGTTCACAATTTTGCGGAAAGATACCAACATTGGATATTGGATTGAATTTAGATCTGATGTCTTATTTTCCATAGTCGCAGATATGATTCATATGTATGTCTGTATGTATATGGCGTTCTTGTTATCTCAATGAACTCTAGACAATGTATTTGTTGTTCATTGATAACTCCGAAACTGCAAAAAACTAGCTCCAGCATTGCTCCGAATTTTGAAAAAAAAACAATCTATATTTACCATAATGATTTTGCTACCACATTTGATAACAAAAAACTTTTGATTAGAGTTCTTTTTAGAATCTAATACTTGGCAGGGAAGAGAATATGAATATTTATAGAAGTTTTCGTTTAACGTTGCTAACAAATAGACCTTTGTCGAAGTGGTGCGCAAAAAGTGTTTTATTTCATGAAATTAAGTAGTGGAAAATTATTAAAATGCATTACAAATTGTTGGGGAATTGTGTAACATTGCTGTTAGTTCTTCTCCGGGTCACGTGGGCGCTCGATTTCCCGGAATGTGCAAATGTAACGGAACCGGACGTTTTCGTTGCCAGCTTTCGCAGTTGTGCCAAATATGTTTATTGTAGTGGTGATGCCTCGTTTGAAGGTGAATGTTTGGGTGGTAACTACTTTAATCAGGCCCAGGGTATTTGTGATGACCCGGAAAATGTAAGCTGTGACATTGTGGCCGGCGCTGATGTTACCAGCATTTTTGATGATAAATTTCAAAAAGCTGATAACGTTTTGGAAGAGAATGTAACTGATGATCTACTAGAGGAGGATGAAGAAGAGAGAGGAGGTACAGGTAATGCGATTGAAATCGGTGATGTTGCGGAAACCGGTGCAGAACCGGATGCGGAGGTTGAAGTAGAAGAGGAAAATGTTCCGAGTGCAAATGCTGAAGATCACCAACCACTTAGTGTATTCACAAATCCGGAGGCTAGAAAGTGTTCTCGTTTTTCATCCACTGCCGTTCGTCATATACCCCACCGTGAGTCATGTTCGGCATTTTTCACCTGTTACAATGGCATGGTTATACCGATGTTGTGTCCGAGGAATTTATTCTTTAATGCTGAAACGGAAAAATGTGAGTCGCAGCTGCCAGCGAATTGTAAGGTAAGTGAGAGATATTTCAAATGTGAATGTATTTTATTATTTTTCGCAAAATAAAAATGTGGCGGTTTCGATTGAAAAATATGTCTTAAATATTTTTAATATCGCAAAATGGTATAGATAAAATATAGTACTAGATGTCCAAGTGGTGTCTCGCAGAATTGTGAGAATAGTGATTAATATTTTGCCGGAATATTTTTGCAATCCTGTTTATATGCTTTACCATAAGGCAGAGCGTAAAAAATTTTTTTTCTCACGCATTTGTCTTTGTGTGTGTGTTAATGGTTTTTCAATTGGTTCAGTTGAATGTGTGTAAGAGAATAGTGATATTTACTCTCGTGAGAGTGCAGGCGTGCGGTGTTTCGCCCGATACGGGTCTACACTATATATTCTAGATCAGAATAAAATTCGATGTCGATTTAGACAGTTCAGTCCATTTTGCATATACATTGTTATATCCAAGGAGTAGGATGCCTGGAATTGAAAGTTGATATAACGGTACACGAATTGGGATGGGTCATATATAACGATAATGTCCAATATTCGGTCGGAAATTCACCACACTGTGGTACTGATAATTATATACCCAGGGTTCCTTTTGAGAATATGCTTAGAATCACTTTCTGAGTCGATTTACGAATGTCGTCTGTCCGTCCATGTATTTTTGTGAACAATGTACGATTTGAATGAAATTTGGCACATGTCACTAATTTAACCCAAGTACGATTCCTATTGAAATTGGGAAAAATCGATTAAGATTTAGATATAGCACCCATATATAATTTTGTCCGACTTTATGTAAATGGTGCACAAAACTCCCAATATTGGCCCCATTGAGACGCAATTTTGCGCAGCGCACTGAATTAGGTCTATATTGATGTGTGTCAAGTTTTCTTCAAATCGGTGCAGATTTAGATATAACTCCCATATATGGTTTCGTCCGATTTTAAGTAAATGGTGCACCAAAGAGTCGAATTTACCACACAATTTTGCACAGCGTACTGAATTAGGTTCAAATTTATGTATGCAAAGTTTCGCTGGATATAGCTCCCATATATAGAGTCGTCCGATTTTATGTAAATGGTGCACCAAACTCCCAATATTGGTCCGATTGAGATAAAATTTTGCACAGAGTACTGAATTAGGTCTAGATTGATGTGTGTCAACTTTTGTTGAAATAGGTTCAGATTTAGATATAGCTCCCAAATGTAGCTTCGTCCGATATTGGTCCGATTGTGACAAAATTTTGCACAGAGTACTGAATTGGGTTTACATTAATATATGCGAAGTTTTGTTGAAATCGGTTCAGATTTAGATATAGCTCACATATGTAGTTTCGTCCGATTTTATGTAAATGGAGCACCATACTGCCAATAATGGTCCGATTGTGACAAAATTTTGCACAGAGATGAATTAGGTTCAGAGATTTTTACTCAATGAGAATCCAAAATATAAAATCACAGCTAATTTGGTTGAGACACGTGCCCAAAATATGGCTACTCGAATACAAAGGCCAATGTTGATAATTTTTCGTAGAGACATTTTCTACTCAGAGATAATCCGAAGTATTAAATTGTTCATAAATTGGTTGAAAAACATACTCAAGCTCCCCAAAATAACGATCTTGTAGTCCATTTTCCAGGTCCATTTTCTTAGAGGATAAAAAACACCTCATATACAATACACAAAGACAAACCCTGCATATGAAGGACTATCTGAGGCGTGGATAATTAAAGAATATTTTTCTAAAGACTATCAGAGATGTGGATTTTATAAACAAACATTTTCAAAGGACTATCAGAGGCGTGGATTTTTTAAAGAATATTTTTCCAAGGACTATTAGAGGCCTGAAGAATATACTTCAAATGATATTTTTCCAAGGGCTGTCAGAGGCGGGAATTTTTTGAAAAATATACTTCAAGGGATATTTTTCCAAGCACTATCAGATGGGCGAATTTTTTGAGGAATATATTTCCAAGGATATTTTTCCAAACATTTTCGAAGAAATATTATAGGTATGAATTTGTTAGAGAAAAAAATCGAACGACATTTTGATGCGTAGATTTTTTAAAGGATATGTTTCCATGGACTATCATTGACGTGGGTTTTTTAAGACGACGTGTCTACATGTTTTTAGAGTGGCTGGCGCGCAGCTCTGATGGAACGCTAAGAAATTTTAATCCAAATGTTTATTCAGTCGGAGTCGTTAACTTAACAGCGAACATTTTCCGTTTGCCTCTCATACTACTGCGACTCTCAGCCATTCTTTATTGATGGAAACTATAGCCAACTTTTTAAACAGTGATTAATAGTTTACAACTTAACCTTGCTTTTTGTTTATCTATTTTCCAGTTACGCTACTCCGTCCGGCTAAACTGCCAAAAGGGTGTCTACGACTATATGCCTCATCCCCAGAAGTGTGAATATTATTATTACTGTATCAATGGATTCCTGATGATGTTGCGTTGCCCCTATGGTTTTCTATGGCATTTTGAACGGCGAACATGTGTTCGCCAATCATTGGCCAAATGTTATAAGGAATCAGCAGTGCTAATGGCTGCACAACAAACGCATGTTTATCGTATACGCAACGAGGATATGAGAAATTCCACAAAAATAATGTAAACGAAAAAAAAAATTAAAAGAATTATATTTAAATATAAATAATTAATTGAAAATAATCAATTTTGTTTTTTATTTTAAATAATCACAGTTCGTTATAATTCAAATTGTTTAGTATTTATCGATAACAACAAACGATAACACTGAATTTACATATAACAAAGAAAAATAAATGCATACGCCTAAAAGTATGCTTTATAATTTGAATAAATGTTTTCATATGACCATACCAATTTAAATAGTGTGACAAATAATTATTAAAGTAATTTTTAATACTATATGGACAAATAAAATAACAACAACAGCAACATTAAATTAATCTTTAATTAAAATTTATATATTTTGAGTGAATGTTGTTGTTTAAAATGATTTCTGCGAAACTTGTGGTTCTGGAAGGCATGTTGAGTTTGTTCTATATACGTATGTGACCATATGTTTGCATTGCATTTAGTAATGTGTCTGCTGCCCTGCACCGAAAGGACATGGAACGTGACGGGTGTAATGTAACATTTAATTTGTATTTATTTACCTTTAACCGTATAAATAAATAGTCATGTGAATATTAAATATATTAACAATATAAATGTAGGCATTTACCAAGTAAATTAACCCATTGCGGAGCAAAAAAAAAAATCCAAAGGACTATCAGAGGCGTGGATTTTGCCAAGGACTATTAGAGGCGTGGATTTATTAAAGAATAGTTGCCAAGGACTATCAGAGGCTTGGATTTATTAAATATTATTTTTCCAAGGAGTATCAGAGACGTGGATTTATTAAATAATATGTTGCCAAGGACTATTAGAGGCGTGGATTTATTAAAGAATATGTTGCCAAGGACTATTAGAGGCGTGGATTTATTAAAGAATATGTTGCCAAGGACTATTAGAGGCGTGGATTTATTAAAGAATATGTTGCCAAGGACTATTAGAGGCGTGGATTTATTAAAGAATATTTTTCCAAGGTCTATCAGAGGCGTGGATTTATTAAAGAATATTTTTCCAACGTCCACCAGAGGCGTGGATTTATTAAAGAATATTTTTCCAAGGTCCATCAGAGGCGTGGATTTATTAAAGAATATTTTTCCAAGGTCCATCAGAGGCGTGGATTTATTAAAGAATATTTTTCCAAGGACTATTAGAGGCGTGGATTTATTAAAGAATATTTTGCCAAGGACTATCAGAGGCGTGGATTTATTAAAGAATATTTTTCCAAGGACTATCAGAGGCGTGGATTTATTAAAGAATATTTTTCCAAGGACTATCGGAGGTGGGGATTTATTAAAGAATATTTTCCCAAGGACCATCGGAGGTGGGGATTTATTAAAGAATTTTTTTCTCCCCCAATGGGTTAATATATTACTTTTTGTTAATAAATTGTATTAATTAATAAAAAACAACAAGGCCAATAAACATGTTTGCCATTATATTGATATTAATATACTTTAATCATAGATTTCTCTGATGTACAAACATTTTCGCTATTACTGATGGCGGTGGTGTTGTTGTTCCTGCGCGGAAAAAAAGTGAAATCATTAAGAATCGCAGGTTGTCCATGCTTTCATAACTGTAATTATTGGTATTTACGATAATTGAAATAATAAAAAATGTGTAACGAATATTTATTGATTTATGTTGTAATGATGATGATGGGCATGATGATGCTGACGACAAACATGGGAACACATATATGAGAACGCAGATGGAATTCGCAACATGTTGTGGGAAATCGTAAAAGTTTTATATAATTAATATATATTAATATAATAAAAAAATATATATTTTTTAAATAAATTTAATAGGAAAGTTGCAATATATTTTAAAAGGTAAAATAATGCAATTTCTGGATTTGATAGTACTTCATTTACTTTCAGTTCCAGATCATTTTAATTTTATTAACAACATTTAACAAAAATCTAAAGGCTATGTCATGGACCGATATATTGCACCTACAATACCACACATCCTTGGAGTAGTTCCAGTCTTATTTGATTTTCTGTTCTGCAATCTAAACTAGACCTACGATAAATATATATCCACCTAAACTACAAACTACAGCAGCAGAAAGAAAAAAACCAACACCGCTTTCCAAATTGACAACCAAAATAGACCCCATATGGTGAAAACGAATGAACGAATTTGCCGTTGCTGCAGCGTTTATAGTTCACTTAAAATGCAATCAAGAACAAGAGAATATAAGCCAACAACAGCAGAAGGAACAACAAAAACAATAGACACTGATCGAAGTGGTGGCAACAGTAGTGTATCGACCGCAGCAGCAGGAGCTCCAAATATAAAGAACCCAATCATCAAATTGAAATTCATTGTCAAATGTACTTGTCACCGAGCTTAGTTAAATAAAAAAGAGAACATATGGGTAACTCCACACATAGATATTTTTTTATTTAGTTTGAACCTATAACTTCTTCTTCATGTTTTCCAAGAACATCTCTTTCTTGCCTCCCCAAGACAAAATACCTCATCCACACATTTTGTGAATCTAAGACCTTCTACTATCTTCGAAGAACTTCTCTAGACTCCAACACTTCGAATACCTTATTATTGCCTATATTTGGAAGATCTTCTATATCGAATACATTTTCCATGTCTTATATAGACCGAAGAATTTCTACAGGTCTGCTTTTATTCGAAGACCTTCTTCAATCCATCTATAAGATCGGAGGTCTTATCCAGATTATCGAATACTCTACTATACCTTGAAGACTTTCTCCAGTCTTTCTGAAGTTCAAAGACATTCCTCCAGGAATTCGACACGTAAAATATCTTCTTTAGATTTTTTATAGATCGAAGATCATACACCATCTTCTGTATATCAAAGACTTGCTCTATGACGTCTAAAACATGTTTTTGAAGTCTATATATCGCAGACTTTCTTCTGGTCTTTTCTGTGGACAGAAGATCATGTCGCCTATATTTTGAACTAAACACTATTTCTGTGCATCAGGATCTTCTCGAAAATCGAGAAGTTTATATCTTTATTATAGATCGAATATGTCTTATATAGTTGATCGATTTGATTTTTAGATCGAAGACCATCTAAATGTCTTTGAAGAAATTCTCCTGGTATTCTATAAATCGAAGAGGTTATATTCTATTTATAGATCGAAATCTTTATCCAGGACTTGGGATACTTTACTTCATAGAGTTGTATGGGTTCTGTAGATCGAGGACTTCTATTGTTCCCACAGAAAAGAAGGAGCTTATCGCTGGAAGCTCTTCCATGACTAGAACTGCTTATTCAAGCCGTCTATTGAAAGTGGTACTTATCCAGGTCTTCGTTTACTTTATTATGCCTTGTATAATTCAAAGATCTTCTTCAGAACTTCGTTATAGTAGATCAAACCCTTCTCCAGATCTTCTATAGTTGAATAAATTTTCGGGACTACTGCATTTCGAAGACCTTCTGCAGGAGTCCAATTTCCCCCTTTTACATTTAAGCCGCATAATATGATAAAATTTATATTTAATTGTGAAATGTAGCTTTCAGCCTTAAGGTCGAAAGACTGAGCAATATGAAATATAAATAAATAAATAAATAAAAAAATAAATTGACAACCTCCTCTATAGGCTGAATTCTTACTTAGGACTTATATTAATCGAATACCTTTTCCAGGTTGTATATAGTTCAAATATCTTGTCCATGCCTTCTATAACTCGAATCACACCTTTAGATGTTTCGCAGATCTAAAGCGCAGGACTCCTCTTTCTCGTTTCCTCATATAGATCGAAGGAATTTCTTTTCGATTCTTCTCCAGCGATTCTTTCAGCAGATCGAAGACTGTCCCCGATTTTCTTACAATCGTCTCCAGGTATTTTATGGATCAATTAACTTTTCCAAGATCTTCCCCATCCTTTCTCGCCTAGATTCCTCAATAACAAAATAGCATATGGAAATCTTCTCCAGGGTCCCCAATACATCTATATGAAAACACCCATACCTCCATATAATTTAAATCACACCAACACTGCACATGTTCATATTCAACTACCATGCAACATTGTTAAGTGTTTGATGCATAAATACGTACTCCTAAGTTGCAATGGGCCCGGCTGGTAGGCAACAAACAACCGCACAAAATATAAATACTCAAACACTCAACGCCCCAAACATTAAATATTAGCTGCGGTATTGTTAAAGCAAAACAACTAAATATTAATATTGAATGTGAGCAAGTGAGTGTGCGTGAGTGATGCACGTGAATATGCGTGAAAACCATAAAAAACTGAAAATCCCTTAAAACCCAAAAACTGTCATGGAAAAACGAGCCTTAAGTTACTTCGACGGCACTAAACTAAATTCTAATTACAATTATGACATTTGGGAGTTGGGGACGATGACGACAGCTCACTGAACTGACAGTAACAACGACAACAACAAACAACAGCATCATCGAAAAAAAACCGACACTCGGTATTAGTAAATAAATAATCAAGGAAAAGAAAAGAGACCCCCAGCACCTGATGTGCACTGGCGCGGTGGAGTTGACCTCAAGCTCCACTCGTTTCGTTTATTTTTTCCTTTGATTCACTACAAACACATGTGATCATCAAACAACATAGTGAATATTATATTTTGGGCTGTGTGTTCATGTGTGTGTGTGACCTTTTGCGCGCATGTGCAACCATATTTCTTTATGGGTTCACTGAAAATGATGTCTAATTATAGCAAGGTCTCAACGGGCAATAGTTTTTTTATTGTTGTCGTTCTTGGTGTTGTTGTCTTTTTTTATTATTTTAATATTTTAAGGCGGTATTGGGTGTTCTAAATGATTCAACAATGTTGTTGCGCGTTGAACACAGTGATTCGGGTGGTGTTCATAAGTACAGTAAAAAGTTCGTCTTTATTGAAAAGCAAATCCAAATAAATTATAGAATATACAATTATGCAACAACAATGAGAAATATAATAGCAAACCAAAGGAAGAAGACGAAAAATTATAGACCTTCAACATTGTGTCTAAATATCAACAACGCTTAAAATCGAGC